ACGATAGGTAGTCTTATTTGTATTTCATTAATAAGATATTTAGCGCAATCATTGGCACTAGTGGTGATTATATTCAGTCGATTCAAATTAGCGTTTACACATTCGAGTATATTTTCTTGCCCCAGAAAACTAGCTCTCTGCATTGCTATAGCGAGCGAATAAGTCCGGCGTTTCTTCGGAGCATGAATTTCTTTTTTAGTCGTGGTATTTTCCAAAGGTTGAACTTCTTGTTCGTTTTCTTGATATGTCAATAACAAAGCTCTTGCTCCATAAGCAGTGGTGAAATTTATAATTATCTTGTTGATAATAATCGAGTTTGCCGTAATACTATTTCCATTTAAGTAATCCGACATTTGCTTCATTATTTCTTGAAATTTTTGCCATTCCGCCATGTTGAAGCAAATACCATCGGCTCCCTTGGATGAAATTTAACGAAAGGTTGAAAATCAAACTCGTCGCCGTTGATTGAAGTTTGCAGCCCAACATGAATTTTCTTCGTATAGGAAAAATTCAATCCATATGTTGTAGATAACAGCATGCAATTCTGCACAATTTTTTTCGGAGATGTCGCATCTTGCTTCGGAAGTGTCGCTGCACTTTGTCGGCTTTTCGGATTTCACAATTTCCCGTCGTTTATCCATGACACTGATTTTTATACGCAGACGCGAAACAAAAATACGAAAACTGAAACTTGTTCGCTGTTGAACTTGTAGGTTCGAATGCTAGGAGACGAATGAGAAAAATGTTACAATCTTTCGCGTAACAGAAAATCGGAAAATGGTGGGGGAAATTTGAACACATATAAACTTTTAAGCACTATGATTGGTCGCAAAGGCGACGCGTTAACAAATATTACTTTTCCGAATTTCCACGAAAATTTTACTAGATAAGAAAGTTTCGATTTTCGTGTCGCAACATGTTACGGAATAAATTTTCATGATCTTACAACGGAAAAATTTTTGCTACCCTATTGTGGTTTTTACTACGCAATTGATATATAGTGTATTATTCTTATTTAATCAATAGAATTTCTACCCGTCGCGTAGTATTTCTTAACAAGTTTATCGTCGGAATTGTTACTACGTGTTCAATACTATAGGATTATTCTTACCCTGAATCAATCAGCTTAATATTTTATTTTTTCCGAAGCACCTTGCTCTCCTATCTTGAACTATCGTTCGTTGAATAATAGGATTATCATGAAAAGTATGACGAAATGACCGAAACGTTGTACGCCGAAAGGACCTGGGTCGTTGTCCAGTTTCAAAGGAAGTGTAATAAAAATATTTGAAAACGATGCTTTTTTCCTAAATTTTTTCAAGGTGGGGGGAAAACTGGTATAAAACGGGAAGACGCTGAAAAATCGCACAGTTTCACATTTTCTCGCGCATTCGGGATCATAGCGATCTGTATTTCCGTCTTCGTGTGATTTCACCGCGTATCGAAGCCACGTTGAATTAAAAATGTCTAGTTTGCGGGAAATTATCGAATCGTGTTTGCGATTGACGCGTAGTTTAAACGGGCTCTGCATCGATAATTATTTATCGTTGTTATCCGACAACGACGATAATAATTATGTTGTATTCGCAAAGTTTGCGGGTGCGTGCCCTACCGCGGTGCTCGCGGTTTTATTCCGTTTGGGGCATTTCTCGATTTACCTCCAGCTTTTGATTATTGCCGGCGAAATAATCGAGATGAGGCGTGTGTTTAACGACAACGAAGAAGAGGATGCGGAAGGCTATATCGCCGGCCTGCTGAATTACTATCGTGGTGCGGTAAAAAATGGTAAGTTTCTATTTTTATTATGAATATTTAAAACAAAATTTAAAAAATTAAAATCATTATTTTTTAGGAACACTACAATGTCACGAGCCGAAAAAAGTTATGGCGGTGGAGGGTGTAGCGCGTAGCATGCGTCAAAATTATGTCGAAGAGCGAGCTACTCAACGCCGCGGGGTAAGACGGCGAGCCGATACCTCGCCTGAGGCTGGACCAGGGCTGACGAAATGTGGCTCGCGAGCCGACCCCTACTTCGGACGCTTCTCCCTCCAACGCGTCAGCCGGCAGAACCGACCGACGTCTGTCAGGACCGTAGATAGCCCATCGTGCGAGATTGCGGGGCCATCGTGAATTTTTGGAAATTTCGATGTTTAACGACGTAGTGAATGTATCGTGAATAAAATGAGGAATGAAAATATTAATGTGACAAATGGATGCGCTTAGTATTGCTAATAAGTTCTTCAATGTCAATATTAATTTGCGTTGAAGCGAGACGAAGTTGATGTTCTAACACTTCATTGGACGGCGAACAACGTTGAGCAGATTTGATGTGCTTCATAATAGAAAACGTGCTTTCACAGATGTAAGTTGATGCGAATAATGATTTTATATAAAGTGCAAAGTCAATGAGTTTCGGATACCGATCTTGTGGCATAACTT